AGAAAAAAAAAAACGGAAAAAAAAACAGTCAGCAACAAAGTGAGTAAGCCGGAGCCCCCCACTTTCCTTCCCCCAACCTCTTTTTCAGGCAAGCGATCAGCGAAAGATCACATTGACTTAACTTAACTTTATTTAAAGAGGGAAGCGCACTAACCTATTATAGTTTTCTGACCTGCGGCCATCATACCCGCCCATCCCATCCCAGGGGAGGACATCCACCACACAGTAATCTCGTACGTGGGAAATGAACGTCTCCTACCCCTAACCCTGAAGGAGACGGGGCCTACAGTTTATTCGTCCTTATCCGAGAAGACTAGAATATCTATCCATTTCTTGATATTATAGAAAGGTAGCACATTCAGTCATCATTTAGCAACATTAAGCAATGTTCTCATCACTCAAAAAGTGGGAGAAACACGCAACTGCGTCTGGACTTCTTTCGTGCTTTAGCCACTTCCTGTGTGTTCCTAATAGAAGAGGGTTTGTGAAATTGATCACAGAAATGGTACTAACAATGTTCAGAACCTAAGTGAGACCACGAGGCGCAGCCAGTAAGAGATGAATGGCAAGAGACTGTTACTCTGAATTGTTTCTGACGCCCACTTGGTTTTCATTTTAAGCCATTTACTTCGACATCAGCAATTATTTCTACAAACTTGAAGTCTTCTTCGGACCGAAAACCGGTTTTCTTTTACTAAAATTTTTCCTTCACTTTTTCTTTCACTTGGACAGGTTTTCCTTCTAAAATATCTCCAGGTATGCCGATCTTGAAATTCGGATATTCGCCACTGTCCATGTTTGAAAAATTTGCAATTATTTTCACGACACATTTCTTCGTCGACATGGTGAGGATTGCTGAGCGTTGCTTTGTATGACACGTAATTATTTTTCATCTAGAACTTTATTGACAATGACTCTCGGCCAATGAGCGCACGATAATTTCTGCAGTTATTGGTTATTCTTGGTTTAACGTGACGTCATCAGAATTAAAAAATAAGGAGTTATCATTCCTTTTGAAATTTTAATTACTTTTTAGAACTATTGGTTTGAAAGGGTTTTTCGTCTTGTTATAAAGCAAGGTGAATTTCTGAGCTCTTGCGTGACACGATGTTGAAATGGTCGTCGAGAGTGCTGCCACGTAGGTTAAAAGAAAGTTACTTATCCGCTAAGATTTCGCAATCTGAATTGTCATTCTAGGAGGATAAGTATTCATAAAGATGTTTGTGACCCTCGAAAGACGATTACAGACTTTTCTATGGCAAAACTCGATGAAATATGTTTTTGTTAGTTTCCGGTCGCCATATTTGTGCCCCTCAGAAGGATACAAACGCGGCGTCTCCATACAAAGCCATATAGATTTGAATAAAACATTTCTTCGAATATGTCCCGCACGAAACAGTGCAGAGACCTGATTCTTTGCAACAATGTTTGAATATCTATCTTCTTTTGTTTCTTGGATTTTTGACTTCATTTGTTAAATGGATTTGATGATGGTGTGACAGTGAAAAACGGCAATACATGCCACAACTAAATTGCCGCCAAAGTTCTATCAAACAGCAATTAGCTAAATTCGCAATTGGTTTAGACTTCGTTTTCTTGTCTTTTATTACTAGTTTGCAAACTAGTTTCTTTTCTGTGCACACAGAACTAACAGATGTCAACTATTTCTTGCAAAACGGCGCCTGCATGCATACACACATGCGCCCACACACAATCATGTCGTTACTTCATTAAATTCAAGTTCTTTCAGCGTAGTGGACATTTATCACAACAAGAAATATGTTTTTACAATCTTTACTGAAACAATATTTTTGAAATTGTCTTTTTCAAATTTTCTCTAACCTATGGCGCTTTGCTGCATCGTAATTTCTATAATTCACAGTTGAACAATAGCCCCACAGATACTTTCGAAAGTTATCATACTTAGGTGAGCCAAGACTAAATATGCGCTGATTAGAGAGGGTCTGAATAATTTATTGTATTGCGTGTTTAAAGTTTCTTCCTCTCAGACTATCTTGCATACGATTTCACTGTTTAGGCGACTTTTTTCCTTTTTTGGTGCTTGTTTTGGCTTTGCTCAATGTTTCAATCTAATTTCTTATTTCTTAGGGGTAACTTTAGTTTCTTGCCCAATCATCGTATTCTCAGCAAAAGCCGAATCATTGAAATATTAGGTATGCGCTTGGAAGGTTGCCATATCGAAATTATTTAACCGCGAAAGTTGCTAATAAAGCAGCATATGAAAATTATGATCTCAGTTTCGCCATGTTTTGCTTTAACTGTGGTCGGAGTTCGATCGCAGAAAATTGCTGTGGACACTAATTAAAGGTTTCGGATACATATTTTAAACACTTTAATAACTTTTTCATCTTTTTTTTTTACGTTTATATGTTGAAGAATTCATTTTGACTCTATCTGAATCATGCCCGATAAACTACATAAAGAAGTTTTTCCTTCCTCCATTTAAAGATATAAATTTATTTCTTAATATTATTTCTTAAGATGATATTTAGGTGTGTATGATTTCGCACTAAAGCACTATTTCTATAACATCTGTTCTATTTCATTCGTTATATATTTTTCTTTGAGGCGTTTCTCCTAAGAACGAACAACCAGATGGCCCGAGCTCGAGCAATTTTTGAATTTATTCGAATTGTTGTCCTTGTCTGATAAAAGCAGCTCACACAGGCGTTTACCATTTACGGAGATATTTGCCTCCAAGTTATATAAAAAGCACTTAGGGTTGGCTGCACAGTCAAATTCAGATTCGCCCCCGTTGTTAGTTTGGAAACGCTATTTATTTTCTTCGTACTTTAGATTATTGCTGAACCGCCTATTGTCTATGCTTAGTTAATCTTTATCTACGTCACGGTTTATTTTTGTCGATTACTGTAATTGGTGTGAAATTATTACGCAATTTATGTCAGTCATTCGCTGATATTACGGGCTTGCGACAAAGAGAGAACCATTTTTTTGATTGCTGTCAAGAGGTCGTGCGCTCCGCTACTCAGTGTAAAATTGTTTTGTCTACTCCGCTACCCGCGCTTTTCAAGTACGCTAGGAGCTCTACCAAAGTAAATTACCTCTATTGTTTATGCTCGATTTAGTTTATCGTTTCCTTTATTATTAGTACAGTTGATTTCAAGAATAGGTCACTGTGCTGTGTCATCGTTGAAGTCGATTAATTAGCTTCGTTTCGTTTTCTGTTACCTTCTAGTTCGAACAACACACACACGCACATCATTCTACCACATTTGCTATCGCAATCACACCAAGTATTCTGCAACTACCTTATTTATCGCTACCTGGCTACGTTCCATTTTATATCTTATAAAATTAAACACTTGGGATTGTTACACATGGTGCTTGTGCGTTCGTTTTGGGGCTCTATGTACCAGCTATCCTTCCACAGCTAGGCAACGCTACCCTGTGATTCTCTGGAATTCACACCCGTGTTCAACTTGGACGGAAATGATCTTGCTGATATTTAGAAAAGAAAACGTTTCCTCTACCATCATCATCAACAACTTCTTCTGAGGAATCTCAAATGAGATCTTTGAAAGAAAAGGTCCACGAAGATTTTAGAAACTGCCACTGACCTGCTAAATGCTATTACCATCGAAAATTACGAATACAATTTGAAATCATCACAGAAAATAAACTTGTTGTGCCTTGCGAAGTATGAAGACAAGCAAAAAGACAGACCACTAAAGGCAGACATTTTCCAAGTCTCAGCTGACCGCCGAGTTCCATTTCTTCTATCCTTGAGGTGTTGAATTGTTAACTTACATACACGATATAACAGCGCCGACCGAATGGTTGTATTAAAGTTATAATATTTCCTAAAGAGGCTTTTAAGAGGATCGTTTTGAAAAATATTTGTTGTTATTTGACTTAAAGGAAATGTAATTAAATGACGCGAGTGCAGTTTCTAGGTTATTATAACTTAATTGAGTACCTGTCTCCATGAGACCAAAAAGCATATATTATCTTTGGTAAACGTTTTAACAAAACTAACTGCACTTGCATATATGTAATCCAGCTAGTCACTCAGTGTTATCTCATATCGTTGATAGCTTCGCCAAAAAATTGTTATATGGATTAATGTCTGAAACACTGCATAAAAGTAAAATCAGAAAAATTTTGTTCATTCCCTCCAAAATAAAAGTATAATACATGGACGAATACATGAAACACGGGAGACATTATCGCGCCGCTAGCAAGCAGTGTAGACTTCTCATTAGAGCGACTTAACAATGCATATTCAACCGGCTATGTTTGATTAGAGTGGACAGTGGGGAAAGGGACTGGGAAAGGCGAGAAGTAAATTTTATTGCCCAAGCTCACCTCTCCCCTGCCTGTCGCTCACACTCTTTCTACAGATTTCTTTCTCTTTCAATCTCTCATGCCCAACCTTTCGCTACTGTAAAAATCGAAGATGGCAACTATAATTTTCATCAAGAAACTACGGAGCACTCCCTTCCCAAAGTTATGTCTGTTCTGCAGCTTATTGCGCTCCTCATTAAAACGCTTATCTTCTTTCATCTTTTTTCGTACCTTTAGCTTTTAAAGCTTCGATTAGCATCTGAACTGAGCCCGAATTTTAAGCAATGCACCTGATGACTAGAACTTAATGTGAATGATAATGAGGTTGTGTTGTGTGACAATATCTAATGCTGTTCATTCCTTTGAGTACAATCTTAAATTTGATTGATGTCTTGTTTTAGCAAGTTCTTGCCCCCTACATAATTGAATTCTATTGTTCTAATTAAGTCGCTAGCTCTTGCTTATAAGGTTATATTTAGCACTTCATACTTTTGTTTATAAAAGAAATCCTCGTGCATATTGTCGTTAAGGATCTGTAGTCATTGCTACCATCAAAATCATTAACGTTATCACATTCTTTCATTATCATTATTTTCATTTTAATTGTCATCACTATCATTATCATAATTTTGATTTCTATCGTTATTGATATTGCTATTATTATCAGTATTATTACTAATATTATCATTATTACTATTATTTTTGACAGAATTATCCTTTATGTATTTTTAAAGGCATATCCTTAATTTGTGCCCATGTCAATCTGTTGGATTACAGTTACAAGGGATACCCTAAATTTCTCAGTGCGGACAAGTAGAAGCCACCAAGATAATCTAGGATGGCAGATAAATACATGCAACGTTCAAACTAACACATGATATTTCTAGTTGTACGGAGAGTAACATGTAGCTCTTCATAGCCAATTGAATGACAGTCTAGTAAAGCGTTTTTTGAAGGCAGTGATGTTGATGGAAAGGTCTTTTAACCAAGATAAAACACCTCCCAGTCATCAGGTGAGAAGTTTTGTGTCCCAGCCAAGACTGTCGATGGATCTTTGACTCCTTTTGGTGTCTCGTAGTAGCCATTACTTGCGTTAGCAAACTTGGTGTATGAACGGTCGTTTCTGTTAGCATTATCCGATATATGAATGTCATGACCATCTCCGAATGTCGGACCATATCCTAGGGCCCGGAAAATTGCATATTTTTTTTGTAACACCATGCTCTTAAATGGACGAAGCTCTTCTTTGTTTCGTAGAGAAAATATGAAAGCATTGGTAGTTGTACCATAACTACCATGTGGACTAGAATCTGAAAAATAAAAACGTCAAAACCATTTTAAGAACGTGTCTCTATAAGAGTCAAACATCTTGGGAAATGAAAATTTTCACCCCCCCCCCCCCTTCAAATTTTGCAGGCAAATTGACACTCAGGGGGATGCACAAAAATGCCCTTTTTAAAGCTTGCAGCACTCTTGTTGCCATGGTAACAACGGCTGCTTGTTCAAGGCCTGGGGTCTCATTTTCATACAGAAACATCGCAAAAAAAGTGTAAAATGTTTATTTTTCTATCTCAAGCTAAATTCAACATTACAAATTGGTACTTCTACCATACATAGTGACATTATTCGTCTTTACTTTGGTACGTTCAATTTTCCCTGGGAGTGAATGTGAACACACCAATAAATTATTTATCTTGGTACAGTTTCGGTCATTTTTGCTGTAGGGTAAAACAAGAAAAACGTTTGTCTAAAGTTCTTCAAAAGCATACCGACTCTGGAACTGAAACTAAGCAATCAGTTGGTTGTAATATTCTAGTTTTTAAATGTGTAAAATCTCTGCGGGCGGGCCTCCACTTTTAATTTCATAGTGGCAATTCGCGAAAGAAGCTCAAAAATCAGCTATTGCATAAATTGGCAATGTTTACATCTCACGTTCTCAACAACAAACGTTTCAGACAAATGAAAAGTGCAAGGCTTCGAAAGAATGTTATCTTCTGAGTGATATCCCGAAGAGAAGTCTCGCCTCTAGCTTTAATATTTTTAAAAAATGATCAACCTTCATAGAGGACTACCAGACGTAACTACAAACATGTACCTTAAATCGTGTGCATATCATCGTTAGCCCTTCGTCGCTCCGACGAAGGGCTAACGCTCGAAACGTCAGCTTTTGTAATCATTACGGTCGCCAATTTACCATTTCAACTTTGCTGATATATCCAAATTATTTAAGTTTTGGAATGATATCAAACCAGCTTTTTCAATTGTTGAAAAAAGTTCTACCTTCCCCTCTTGTCAACGTTGCTAACGGGAAAAGCTCGAACACAAGTTAGATGAAAGTTATATTTACCCCAAGGTATATCAGTGTATCCTCCAAACACGTACTGGCCATTTTTGATGATGGTCACGGTGTGATCCTTATTGTCGCACCTGGTGTGGAAGGTTGATGCAGCCCAGCCGTGCGTGGAGGCGCGGTGGCACAGCAGCCATCGTGAAGTTTTTCCGACAGCAGGTGTCAGGAAATGTGAAAGGTTGCGGAGGAAGTCAGTGTTGTCAGACAAAATTGTAGACATGATGGAAATGCCTGAAATAATAAAAAAAAAAAAACACCAAAGATATTACATTGTGAAAATTATGGAAATATCATTCTGACTGGTCGGAGCTAAGGTTGCAGTTGCAATTTCATGTATCCTGAAATAATGGGAAAAAAATTGAACAGAAAAATGAAGCAAAGGCAAATCCACGGCAATAATAATTTTTTAAACAATTATCTTTTAGAAGAAGAGACCATTAACAGTATATAATCTCTTGCTCTGTATAATTATTAACTACTTATAAACAGAGAGTGAGGTCGTTGCGGGAAAATCTCGAACTGAGGCCCTGCCCTGCCACGGGTTTCCAGCTGGTAAGTTAAAAACGCCTTTTCCAAAATGCTTTTTAGGGAAAATATCATAATGTTTTCATGTCAATGACAGTTTTCCAACGCCTTTTTTTTTTATTTGTTCTTGTTTGTTTGTGTTGTCACTTCCAGCACAATCTAATAGGTAATTTAAAACTGTACCTTAGCTATTCTTGGGAAAAAAATTAGCTGTTTGTATCAAATTAGTCTACTCTCACTGACTGTTCATCGGCCTTCGTCGTTTTCATGCGCTCGAATTTACAAAAAGCGAAAAGAACCACCGCGGTACTTTTTGCTCTTTCTATGCGAAATCCATAAATGGCCCGTGGGTAGTAAACTTTACCTATTTCAAGTTCACATCGAGAGCCAGAAAATCCTGGTGGACAACGGCAGTCGAATCCATTGACTCGGTCAATGCAGGTTCCATTGTTCTGACATGGATCATTCTTGCAGTCGTCGATATCTGCATCGAAAGTAGGAGGGCATTTAGTACTTTACGAAATAACTCTGATTGGTCCAAAACGAGAAGCGCACAAATACAGCATTTTGGTTTGTTAAAAAAGATAGCTCCTGGAAGTGATCAGTAAAATATTTACGATTACGCACATACGTGGTGTACACTTATTTGAAAGTTCAAGATATCTCCTAATCTTTTCGAAAACTATTGATCGAAGCAAAAGATGACGTCTATCAACAGATTTAAATTCTTATAGGCTGGAATAGGAAAAAAAACAGTGTCCTAATTAGAGAATATTTGGAAATACATTTGATAATAAATGTTAGAAGAATAAAACTACGACGTTTCGAAGTCACCTTGACTTCATTATCAAGTAGGGGTGTTAGTTGCAGTTCCGAGATTAAATACAAACAAAGGTGATAGAGTACGTTAGAATAATAAGTGTTTCGTTGTCATTGGTGTTTGACGGGTCAGTGCGTGCGGTATATGTTTAAATAAATATTTTTGTACGTATTGAGTCCGACTGCGTGTTTAACTTCGGTTTGCGTTCACGAGTAAATAGCATTTCATGAATAAGACAGCCCAGCTTTCCTCGGCACAGTGGTTCCTCGGTAAATAACTAACACCCCCACTTGATAATGAAGTCAAGACGACTTCGAAACTTCATAGTTTTATTCTTCTATTATTTATTATCAACAGTGTCCTAACAGGCTCAATTTTTTCAACCAAAATATCGTTTCAAAGACTTCAGGTTTGGGTAAAATAATGGAAATATTGGAAGAACAAAAACATGTAACTGGACACTAATTTCTTTGTAGTTAACTCACTTATTTGGCAATCTTTCCCCGTAAACCCGATGGCGCAGACACATACATAACTGTTGTTGTCGTACTGTGTAACGCATGTCCCCCTATTCTGACAAGGTCCACTGCTGCAGCGGGACTAATGAGAAATACAAATGCGAAAATCAACGAGTCAGCTACAAAGTAAGTAGGCTGAACCCCCTCCCCCACCCCCCACACCTCTTTGTCATGCAAGCGATCACCGAAGGATTACATTCAGCAATATCCTAGTCGTTCATATTCATTCGCGAATAAGGGTTTAAAGTGCCCATGACACTTTTTTTTTCTATTCTACATCAAAATATAATGACTCTGAAACATGTTTTCGCAACGGTCAGTGTGGTATTTTGCCTTTTTCTGAATTTTTTATCAAGCTCTATAACCCGCAGATAAAATGTCTAGCCGAGCAAAGAGGGACTGGGCACCATGACGTCACAGTAGGAATCTCTTGGAGAGAAATATTCTTCATCGGGTCAGGGGTATTCGAAGAACCCCAAACTACACATCGAAACGGCATTTTTTGGCTAAAAAGTTTGTAAACAATAGCTTCCACACTCACTTTGCTTCTTTGATAAACTTGGTGTTACTACAGTGACGTCACGGCTTCCAGTACTCTTTAACGCGGCCAAAGAGATACGGGGAGCCTAAGTTCGATACAGTTTCGGACTTTTATCGCCTGGTAAAATAACAAAGACGCATCAGAGAGAACAGAACACCTGTTTTTAAATTCGTCAGGTATTACGTATACAAAGTGCGATTATTATAATTATACAGTGCGACAGATCACGTCCCTTAAAATTTAAAATAAAATGAAACCCAAGAACTTACCTTAATACTGTAATGATGAAACCTTCGGCTTTTGATGAATTTATCCGAATTGTTATACTTGTCTGATGGAAGTAGCTCACACAGGCCTGTTCCGGTTACGGAGATATTTGCCTCCAAGTTGTATGAAAAACACTTTGGGTTGGCTGCACAAGCAAATCCACATTCGTCGCCGTCTTCAACTCGGGCTGAGATGATCCCCGTGATATTCAAGTGACGAAATGTTTCTTCTACCATCATTATCAACAACAATCCCTCTGAATCTGAGGAATCTCGATTGAGAGCTTTAAAAGGAAAGGTCCACGAGTTATGATCAACTATCACCGTTCACAAGTTTTTAGATACTGCCACTGACCTAGCTATGCCTCTAACATCTTATTAGCTCTGACCTAACTCTAACATCTTATCAGAAATTTCGAATAAAGAAAAACCAAATTAAAGCTATAAAAGGAAATATACTCCGCAATACCTTGCGAATTGTGAAGACAGCCAACAATACAAACCAGTAAGGGCAAACATTTTCCGAGTTCCATATCTTTTTTGAGTCTGAGATGTTGAATTGGTAACAAAAACGATCAAACAGCACTAACTGGATACCTTTATTAAAGAACGGTATAATCTTCTATGAATAAGCCTTTAGGAGGATTTTTTGGAAACATATTCACTGTTATTTGACCACAAGGAAATGCAATTAGACGTTTTTAGATCATTGGCGCGCAAAGCAAGTTATTTGGTCACCTGTCTCTATGAGACCGAACTTCAAATTATTGTTCAAGTTATGATTAACTGAGTAATAAAACCGACTGGACCGGCATAAACCAGTCGCTAGTTACTCTTTTATCTCGCGAATAACTTGGTATTTTAAAAACTAAAAGCCTTTCAGGGTATGGTGTACGCAGGTATACAGGTGAAATCATGCAGGTAGTGCATGGTGATGGGAACATTCACGGTAAATTACTTATACGTGAAAACAAGAAATGCGTGAAATATTAATTTTGGAAAGAAACTTAAATATGCCATCATTGGACTGACAATGGGCCAAAAAGAGCAAATTTGAATATTTTATGGATGGTACTATGCAAAAATATACGGTTCCAACGCGAGAAAATTAAAGGTGATTGCATCAAATTATGCGATAGCGTCCATAGCTGGCAATTGTGTCTCAAAATCCAATCCGCGAGGTAAAAAAAAGATAAATAAAAGAAAAGCGACGAGAACGTACTTCCTGCAGGCTGTACGCGTTAACAGTAAAACCGTTCAAATACAGAAAAGAGTTTGTTCGTTTTACTCTTGACAATTCGTGCATCGTACGGAGAGCATTCGCTTTCCGAATGTACCTTGCTTGGCATTCTAAAGAGACACCAATTAACTCTCAATCAATAAATTAACTTCGCGCCGTAACTTTGAGAAAATACTTCCATTAAGCGTTCAATAGATTAACTTTGCACTGTAACTTTAAGGAAAGACTTTCACTAAGCCCATTCTAAAGAGACGCCAGTTAACTGTCAATCGACAAATTACTTCGCGCTGTAACTTTGGGGAAATACTTCCATTGAGCGTTCTAAAGTGCGCCAATTAACTGTCAATCAATAGATTAACTTCGCACTGTAACTTTAGGAAAAGACTTTCACTAAGCCCATTCTATTTTAAATAAAGCTGCAGTCCCAGAGGCAATCTATTGCTTTGTACTAACCCGGATTGATGCAAGTTAAATTTTCAAGACATTATTGTGGAGGCGTAATACCCGTTAAAGTAATACCCAGCGGTACGAAAGTCACGGACACATCAGAATAGCGTACAGTAAACTTTTGTATTGTAGCGTGTTTTTAAACATCATTCGTCAATATCAAGCCTATACATGCATATAGCTTTTTTATTTTTTTTGAAAAAACCAAAACAAAACAAAAACAAAACAAACAAACAAAAAAACAAAAACAAAAAAAACAAACAAACAAAAAAAAACAACCGGAACGATTCTAAAGAAGTTTGCACCGTTGCAAATTTCAGAATGCTCCAGCATTTTTGTTTCCAGTTCAATCTTTGTAGGTGATGTTGCAGAAAGAATCCTGTATTCAAGGCTATTGGGATATAATCCCAACTCGGTTTGGTTGATTTTTTTTTATAAGGGGTGGCGGGGGAGGGGGAAGGGGGAAAGGAGGCATTGTCAATCAATGAGGAATGTCGGAAGCTCATGATCACTTCCAGAGCTTGTGTTGCTGCACTCAGTTTGTTAAACGCTTGTTCTCATCTTTCCTCAAGTCTATCCCTCCAGCTTCCTAAGTTTCGATTTGTGACAGAGATTTGTTTTTACGTCATGGATACTAGGTGTACTATCTATCTTGGGTTCGGTTCGAGCATTATTTTTCCAGGAAGGAGAAATGCCAGTGTAAGTGCAAGTGTGGTAAACGATTGGATTAAGGAAGGTAGCGAACCCTGATATTGAGTTAATTCTTACACGAACTACGTAAACGATTCAAGAAACCCTTTCCGTTTGTGAGGGATGCCAAAAAATTTGTGACTGAGGCAACCCCGAAATTTTAAACACCAGCTTTCTACAGGGCGCCCGAT